ACTGGTAAACACAACAGACACATTACACATCGCCGCGTCCAAAAAATCGCAGAACATAACAAAACCAACAACTACACCACCGACTTCAAAGGGGTACAACAGCAACAACAACGCCAGTGCGCCAAACAATCAAACCACCATCAACAACTACACAACGTAACGAACGCAGCAACACGAAACGACGTTAACGACGATACGAAATCACAGCGGGCACACAACCACTCACGACCGTTGACTTGATGTGACTGACGACTGCCAACTCTGGCTGAGTGTTTGAGAGGTTTTCGTTTGTTTGTGGTACGGTTGGATGGATGGTTGGTTGCATGAGGGGGCCCAGTCGGACTGAGCACGATGTGCTGATGTTCGCAATATATGTTTTACGACAAACGAAGTGTGTGTGTGAATTACAGTGGGGCATTTTTATCGCAAGCGATTGGATATAAGGAACTGCGAAAAATTGGCGACAATATGGATTCGAGCAATTGAAGGTAAGATTTTGAGAATTAAAATCCGTAAAGTTTAAAATGTATCTCCTTCAGAAGGTCCCCTATCGAAACAAGTATAAACGAAGTTAAGTTCGGCCGGAACGAACTTTTTATACCCTTCAAATCAATACCTAAAATCAATTAAAAATATAAATAGCTAGCCTAAAATTCCGAACAATGAAGGGTACCGTTATATGGGGGCTAACCCGAAACCTGGTCCAGCATTAATATGTTTTGGTAGGCATATGTTCTACCCAATGACAATTCTAAACACAAAATTGCAGCCGAAATTTAGAAGGTACCGTCATATGGGGGCGACCCAACATAGTGGACCAACATGGTAAGAACAGTATCAATGGATGTGCAAATTTTCAAAGCTCCGGTCATTCCACCTTCTGAAGGTTATCTATCGAAAAAGGTACTAAAGCTTCTGTCGATTGGTGTTCTATTAACAGAAGACCTTCCTGAATGTATGTAATGGGCAAAGATCTTCTAAGGTCGAAAGTTAGATATAGAAAATGTCATTTGTAAGGTCTTCTATAGACATAAGACCTGTTTGAAAACATTCTAAAATTTACTATCTCTACAGACGCTCTAAAGGTCAGATAAATACAGACGATCTTTTAAAATCTTCTAGACGCAGAATCTTTTGAATTAACTTTGGAGGTATAAGACATTCTGATGGTCCTCTATATATAGAATAAGGGGCTCTATATATAAAATACTTTTCAGAAGTTCGCTTTTTCTGGAGACCTATGACCTGACGAAGAAGTAAGACCCTCTTTTGGTGTTCTTTGGATAGACCTGTCTAAAGATCTTTCATAGCCGAAGGTCTTCTACAAACGGAGGATCTTCTGAAGGACCTTTTGAAATGTATTTATAGGCTGGTCTTTTCCGGGTATAGCTAGAAGACATCCTGAAGTTCCTATTAAGATTGAACGCATTCCGCAGACCTCATATGTCGAGAAGACGGCCTGGAGTTCTCATATAGCCAGAAGACCTTTTGTAGATTTTGTATGCAATTCGGAGACACAAGACCAAATAACAGATATTCTATAGCCAAAATCTTCTGTAGCTAGAAGTTCTTTTCATAGTATAGCTAGATGCTCTTTTTCTGGGCTTCAATAGTCATTAGACATTTGGAAGGCTTCTTATTACTGTATATGTAGAAGACCTGTCGCCAATAGAAGATATTCAATCCATAGAAAAAAGTATTGAAGATATCCTATTGACTACTGAAGATGGAAGACCTACAGAAGGTTTAATATAACTCGAAGACAATCTCAAGGTCTTTTATAGTCCGGAAGAAGATATTCAATCAATTCAAATACTACTGAAGATCTCCTTTTAACTACTGCAGATGGAAGACCTTCCGAAGGTCACACTGTAGAGATATCTAATATATCTCGATGATAACCTCCAGGAATTCTATAATCCGGAGACATTCAGCAGGTCTTCTATAACCCGACGACCTTCTGCAGGTCGTATACAACGAGAAGGAGGTTTTCAGTACATAGAATATCTCTAACAGGTCTTCTATATATAGTAGAGATTCTGTCTATGGTCAAAATTCCTTCCGAGGGTATTTTATAGCCAGAAGTATGGTTTCATGGTCAGAAGATATCTTGAAGGTCTCCTTAAGAAAAAGTATTCTGAAGGTCTTATAAAATCAGAAAACTTTCTACATGTCGTATATACCCACAGAAAAATCTTCAGCCCATATAAGACCTCCTACAGGTTTTATAAAGCCCGAAGACAATCTGCAGATCTACTGAACTACTACTGAAGATGGGAGATTATATATCTGTAGATATTCTACAAGTTTTATATAGCTTGAAGACAATATTCAGGTCATCTATAGCGCGGAGACATTCAGTAGGTATTCTATAGTCCGAAGGTAGCAAAAATAACTTGTTCAGGTCTCCTTTAGCAAAAAAATCGTAAAGGTCTTATAACATAGCCATAATGCCTTCTGCAGCTCCTGTAGACCCAGGCGAAGATTTTCAATCCATAGAAGATCTCCAACAAATCTTCTATAGCCAGTAGAAATTTTGCAGATCTATGGCCCGACGACACTCAGCAGGTCGTCTATAGCCAAAAATCCTTATGAAGATATTTTAGAGTCAGATGCTCTTTCCAGGGCTTCTATTGCCAGAACACATCTTGAAGATCTCCTTAAAAGTTCTGAAGATCTTACAATACCAGAAGACTTTCTACATGTCGTTTCTACCCATAAGAAAATCTTCAGTTTATATAAGACCTTTTCAGGTTTTATAAAAACCGGAGACAATCTGCAGATTTTCTATAGGCGGGAAATCACAGAGAATAAATTTAGTCCATAGAAGATTTTCTGAAGATCTCCTACGTGGAGTAGACATTTTGATCATTTTTGTCTACAGACGAGCCTTCTATATAAAGCAGGCATTCAGAAGGTTGTATGTAGCCGAAATATCATTCTGGACGTCTTCTTTGGACAGTAATCTTTCAGGTGGTATGAGTATACAGGTCTTCCGCTATATTAGGCCTCTAAAATGTCTACTGGGTCTAGACATTCAAGAGGAAGACTTTTTGCAGGTATTCTTTACCTAGATGATTGATATCCTGAATGAACATCCCCCGTAGGCCATCTATACACGCAATTGATTTTTAAGGTCTTCTTAGGACTTTAGAGAATCTCAAGAAATGTTCTTTTTCCATTGATGAATTATAGACGTCCTCGGATGGAATTTTATCTCTAGACAACATTTTTAGAAAAGCTTCTGTCTATAAAATACCTTTTTCTTATATAGTCGTATACCTTTTCTGCTGTAGAGGACCTTAAGATAAGTTCAGAAGTTAAGAAACTCCAAATCGCAAATAAAAGACGAGCTAAAATAGCTCCCTCTGAAAACAATCTGATGTCAGAAAAAATCGTCTGAAAGTCTTCTTTGAGCCCCCGGAAGATCTTCAATAGATAGAGGGCTTTCCATGGACAGAATAACTTTGAAAATCTTCTATGATTGATACAGAATATCCTCTAAAGTTAGAAGACTCTCCGATGGCATTTTAAATACAGATGATCTCTAAAGATTATCTATGACAATTAGAAATCCCTATCGACTGAAGATGTTCGAAACGTCTTGAAAGACTTATTTGGACCCCCTGAATGTCTTCAATATATAAAAGGTCTGAAGTTTTTTATAGGCATACAGCCAGAAAACCTTCTGAAGGTCTTCTATGGATGCAGAACTTTGAATGTATTTTATAAAAGAAGGTGTTATGAAGACGGAAAGTCCTTTAAAATTAGAATAGTTTCCGAAGGTAATATATTCTTCTTTTATATCTCTATAATATATTCTTCTTTTATATCGAGTCCTTATCAGAAAGAGATTTTTTGGTCTTCAAATATTTTTCAGAAAATGTGCTCATAAGATTTTAGATAGGGCCTCGAAGACATGAAATCGCTATTTGAATGTTTCTATCGTTGTTTTCTACTTTTGTCCGACCCTTGCTCAGGGTTACCAGCATAAAATTCATCACGTAAACTTGACCTTTCTCGAATTTTACCTTTCCAAGGCCAGATCATGAGTTCCAAACTGTCTACACAAAAAATCGTCTGTCTGTAGAACTTCTTTAGCCAAAGGTCTTCCATAGTCAGTTGACCTCGGTAAGTTCTCCGTTTTAAAAAATTCTTTAATCCATGAAAATGCGAATTTTTTTTATTCTTAGTGATATTTTTATTTTATTTTTTAGTTTTTAGTTGTTGTTGTTTGTTTTAATTTATACTTAATGAATACAATCGGAATGGGGGCTTAATACTTAATGGCTATTTAGTAATGTATAAAAAATGTATATATGTATATTAAATGTTAACAATTTATAATTAATATATAAAAATTTTACAAAATGTTCGGTAGATTTTTTTTCATTTTTCACACTAAATACTAAATTTACATAAAAAATACAGATTCGTAAAAATCGCCTTAAGAACTAAGAATTTTGTTTTGTTTTCTTCAATTAAAAAAATATATAAAAAAAATAATTATTTTTTGTATAAGAAATATTATAATACAGAAAAAAAAGAAAGAAGAAACTTTTGTTTACAATTTTTTGTTGTTGTTGTATTTGTTCAAAAGTTTTATGGACGGAAAAATTATTTGTCAAGTTTTTGCGAACAACAGCAACAACAGGCGGACAGATAAATATCCGTTTCTATCTTTTCCTTTTATCAAAAAAATACAAATCAAATAAAACTGTGGAAGAGGGTATGGCGCCCAATTGTTTGCCTTCTCATGAAACTTCAAAACAGTTCGTTTTTTTTCTAGTTTTTAATTAGCTATGAATGACGAATGACACACATACATATAAATATACTCTCTCAACTCAACTATGTAGCTATTAAAGTAATTAATATAAAAATGTTCTTTGTTGTTATTGTTATTTACAAAAATGTATAATATAAACGTTAATAGGTTTTGGAGATAGCGCATTTGAACTTGTTACACGAAACGACTCGACTTCCCTCTGTTTCGTTTCTCTAGCTGTGCATGGGTCCACGTGTTCGTGTCACTGGACCACTACCAGGTGGCAATCGATTACCCGGACGTTGATGTACAATGGCATAATGATCACTTTCCATAGGCACTGACCTTTAAGTAGGAGAAAATAAAAAAAAATAATTATGGAATTAATAAAATGATTTAAGACTTTAAAAAAGTGTTCCAGTTTTTTTTCAGTGTATTGCAGATAAGAATTCAGATGTGTTGTATCTCTTAGTTTCAGATTATTTTGTAGTTTAACTGATTGAAATGATGTGAATAAAAGTCATATTAAATTTTAGACAAACAATTTGTGAGTGATGGCTGTGAATAACTGCGAATTTCTTTATTAGAAACTGTGACGATGTTTAGATAAAATTGGTAGAGGTGACGGACAGAAAACTCGCATTTTAGAGTCAGTCATATTTTTTTATACCCTCCACCATAGTATGGAGGATATATTAATTTTGTCATTCCGTTTGTAACACATCGAAATATTCATTTCCGACCCTATAAAGTATATATATTCTTGATCAGGGTAAAATTCTAAGCCGATCTAGCCATGTCCGTCCGTCTGTTGTAATCACGCTATCTTCTGAAGGAATTGAGATAGGGTGCTGAAAATTTGCATAGGGTTGGTTGTCTTTTGTCTGCAGGCAGGTCAAGTTCGAAGATGGGATATATCGGTCCACCTTTAGGCATAGCTCCCATATAAGGTACGCCCAAATTTTCGGTATTTTGGGGTTCTTGACCGTGTTTTTCAACCAAATTCGCTGAAATTTGGTACGTTGGGTTCTTATTGGGTACTAAATGTCTCCACAAAAAATTATGAGTAAAGGTCGACTTTTTCTGGTAGCCCCCATATAACGGCACCTCCTAATATTCAGTATTTTGGGGATTTTGATCGTATTTTTCCACCGAATTGGCTGTAATTTAGTATTTTGAGTTCTTAATATGTACCAAATTTCTCCACAAAAAATTATGAATATAGGTCCATTATTTCGGGTAGCCCCCATATAAGAGTATCCCCAATATTCGGTATTTTGGGGTTCTTGAGCGCGTTTTTCAACCGAATTCGCTGCAATTTGGTATTTTGTAGTCGTATATGGTAACAAATCTCCCTACCAAAAATTATTTATATTCGCCCCCTTTTTGGGGTAGTCCCCATATAACCACCTTTTTTATATTAAAGTAGTTATCTAATTTCTTCCGCGTTTTGGGTTTGGTTCTAAGAGTCTGTCGTAATAATTTAACCTGCGGAGGATATCGAGATAAAGCTAGAACGTAAGGTTCTATAATGAACTATAAATGAACTATAACCCGCATTTAGGCCTAGCCCCTGTGTGGGAGGTATCAGAAGGAGTGGACCGATAGTACACATTTTCGAACCTGAACTAAGTTTGGAAGAAATAATAAGATAGGCACAGGTTGGATGAAATCTAAATTTCTGGTACATGGTTCACATTATGGTTTACATAATCGCGTTGTAGAAATGTCGGTGTAGGTACACTTTTTCGTATTTTCCCCACATTTTCATTTCAAATACCTGTCAGTATATCCAATGGAACTAGATGAATGGAAGAACTGGACCTAATACCGATAGTTCCTTTTGCAGAACAGTTCCTTTCAACTACAGTTTAATTCGGTTATAACGTCGCCGTATATTTCTGTCAATTTCGCCAGTCCCATCGTTTCGGATCGGACCCAATTGGAAATATTCTCCGGAGACCCCATAAAACATATATATTCTTAATCAGTATAAAATTCCATGTCGATTTAAAAATATCCATCAGTATGTCTGTCGAAATCACGATGGTAGTATATAACATTTCCTAACAAATTTCGCCATTTTGCGTTTGGACACGTTTTTTTCAAACATATTGGTTATGTTTTTTTTTTGCGGAAAACCTATCAGTAAAGGCTCAAGTTTCGGCGTAGAGCTTATGAATATGTTTTTCAACCGAATTTGTCATAATTTTATATTTTACATTTTTAATGGGTGCCAAATCTTCGTACCAAATATTTTCTGTGGCCCTTTGAGATGGATGGACTAAAAATACCTAAATACCTTTTATATGGGGGTTAAAAGGTATTTAGGTATTTTTAGTGTCCACCTCAACGGGTTAAGGATATACAGAGTTAGACCCGACCGAATTTAATGACATTTTTATTTATTCCTTCTTAATATAATCTGCAATAAATTGTGGATCAGATAAATAAAATTTCAGAACCCTCACTAAAGTTGTTGTCTATATGGAGATCGGAACAAATTTGTATTTCATATTCATATTCAATGGAAAAAGGGAAGCCACATTAAATATTATAATCGATCACTTATTCTATAATTTGAATTTATTACGAACTACGACCTTTGTAACACAAGCAGTCCTATTTAAAGGTTTTTTTGTTTCCCATATTTTTAGCATTGGATATTATCGAAGTCCCAATTTATTAATCCTAAGTAGATTTATATTGTCACACATTTGGGGAACTGCGGGATATATGAATGTTTGCTTTCTTTTTTCTCTCCCCAGAGTTTGTTATGCGCATAGAGGCATTTTCTTTATAGAGGAGCTACAAAAGGTCATCAGCCTATAGGGGACTTTCAATAGCCCATATACGGAAGATCTAATGTCCGTAGAAACTTCTGTCTACAAAATAGCTTCAGAGGAGCTTCATGCTTTCTTAGTCAGTATAACACCTTCAGGCGGCTTTTTGCCTATAAATGATGTTCGGAAGGTCTTTTGTCTATCAACTACCTTCTGAGAGTCTAATATATATTGAGAATTTTCAGAATGTCTTCTGTCCGTAGGGATAAATTGCCTACAGAAGATCTTCCATCCTCAGTCATATAATGGATGTTTTCTATTCACACTTAATCCACAACGATAATATAATTTTTATTTTATCATAGATTTTTGAACGTCGATCTGTATTGAGACGATCAATCAATGACTTAGAGTGTCTGTTTTTAACCTGACGCCTAAAAGTGTGCTAGATTTGTTAAAAACTATTATTAAAGTAGTTCAACATTCCATTGTTTCTTATGTTCAAATGTAGAGCCTCGGTAGAGGATGTACTTACTAGAAGGTGTGGATCTATAGGCGTATCTTTAGACATTACCAAGGTGTGGTAAAATTAGTAAAATGCACAAGGTTTTGAGTTAAATAAGATAGAATTTCTGATTTGATGTAGGCGAATACTCCGTTCGCTTCATACGAGGATTACAAATGTTCAACTTTTCGACTTAGGCAATTTTATTTGCGAGGTACTAGAATGGGTGGTGCGATATTATCTAACTTACAATTTGATATATATTCGAAAAAAAAAACATTTTACGAAGTGCATTGTTTAGTTAAAATTGGTTACTTTGTTCATGATTTCGTCTAAAGACATTTGGACTTAAAGCCGATATTTCTATAAGACACACTTTTGATCGTATACGAAATTTAATACCCTGTGGGATATAAATTAATTCGAATGAAAAGTAGGACCATTATTTTTTATAAAAAAATTCTCAGAAGATTTTATAGATAACACTATTTTAGAAAAAAAGAGAACCCTCAGAGGCTGAAATCGATTTTTATACCCTTCATCACACTGTGGTACAGGGTATGATGTCTTTGTGCATATGTTTGTAACAGGGAAAAATAATCGGGATAGACCCATGGTTCCTTTTGAGAATATGCATAGAATCATTTTCTAAGTCGATTTATGCATGTCCGTCCGTCTGTCGCATTTATGATCCGTATTGGATGAAATTTGTCACAGCTCATTTGTTTGGCCCAAGGACGAACCCTATTGAAATTGGGAAAAATCGGTTCAGATTTAGATATAGCTCCCATATATATTTTCGTCCGATTTTTACCAAATGAAATCTTGCACAAGGTACCGAAATTAGTATAGACTAACGTGTGCCAAGTTTTATTGAAATCGGTTCAGATTTAGATAAAGCTCCCATATATATGTTCGTCCGATTTCAAGCATATTGTGCACCAAAGAGACAAATTTAAGGAGATAGGCAAATTTTGCACAACCTACTGAAGTTAGGAAAGCCTAACATGCAAAGGTTGTGCAGAGTTTGGTTCGGATACTCCGTTCGGATGATGTTATAAAATTCATTTTCAGCAAAATGTTGACCATTTTGTGGGGGAGGTACCAGAAGGCGTGGACCGATATTCCCATTCTCTGAACCTAAACTAATGTTGGAAGAAATATTACGATGCGCAAAATTTGGATTAAACTGGAGTTACTCCCTTCGAGAGTTATAGTGTGCACCAGCTAGACGGATGAACATTTGTTTAAAAATAACCGACTCGTATGTAGATCGACTCCAAATTGTCTGAAACGAATGTGGTCCAAAGAAGCATGGGGTCTAAAACAAATACACCCTCATTAGCCATAAGGCTGAGGGTATAAATATACAGTTCTTAGTGACCAACATAGAAACATTCACTGATCGAGGAGCTGAGGGCAGATTATTTCTATTGATATGTTGGGTCAACATCAAGGTCCAAATTAATTGTGATAAGAGTCTATGAACTTTGTTGAAAATAATTAATATGGGTCCAGGTTGTCTATAAATCACATGTTTTCGTATAATCTGACTTGTGGAAATTTTAATGTGTATGTATATGTGACATGTATGAATCTTTTCTATTAGAGATGAGGGAGGTTAAATTAGTAACATATGTATGTAAATTTTGTAAAAAATCATTCATTCATAAATACCTACATAAAATATTTTTAAGCGTCAAATGTGCCAAAAACATAATGGTCGGGACAGTTATAAAGCATGCAAATTGACTTGCGGGCAGTGTATGTTTGTATTTCATGTTGTTGTAGGGACATTTGACATGATGGTGATGATGATGTTTGTTTTTGTCTCATTTCCAGCCAAATAGAGTATCGAAAGATAGGGTAGGACAATGTATGTATGTAGGGTGACATAAATATTCCAATTTCCGTATAACATGCTGATGTAGGGTGACTATATGTTCATATAAATCATTGCTACTGCAGAATAGGCCCACCAGGGGACAGGCCGAAAATTCGATGGGCAAGCAATTTGGTGGCCAGCATTAGCAGAGATCATCGTCATCATCATTCATTTTGGAGTAGCCACGTACGCGTATATGTGAAGAGAGTATGTATGTATGTCATATTATGTTGTATGTAGCATAGCATAACTGTGTATGGAGTTCATAGAAAAGGGATTTGTTGTAGTTGTTGTTGCACATGTTCTTGTTGTTGTTTTCGTTTTTTTGTTGTGGTTTTCTTTTGTGATGGGCTTTAGATTTTGTTTTCATTTTTTTAGTATCTATCAGACCTATTGGAATGTATGGTTGAACCGCCGCTGGTATAACCTTTGTGCGCATCACGTCCATGCAGCGAATATCTTGAACCATATTGGCTACCATGCCAACTTCTGTAGGGATCGTATTCTTCAATGATGGAGGGCTCTTTTTCGATTATCTGCAAAAAAAAAAAAAAACAACAATTGCAATAAATAAATTACGTAAAAATTAGAAAATAATTAGAAAAGGGAATCTCGGATAACGGTTCTGCCATACCTCTGTATTGGCACAGCTGCAGCTCATGGCAGTGCATAGGAATATGTTCATCAACAACATAATAAGGAATAGAACACCAAGGGTAATGGCCAACCATAGCAGCCAAGTGGGTCGAATGCCATCTTCACAGTCGACAGTTGTGTCTGCAGGAAAGAGAAGAAGAAAAACGAAGAGAAATAAAACGGGATTTAGATCAGAAAACAATTATTAGGTTAAGGTTTGAACTTACAAGGCGCCTTGGCGGGATCCAAAACAAATACTGTTGTACCGGCAATACTTGAACCCTCTTCATTGGGATGGACTTTACGATTACCACCTTTGGTTCCGCCGGCACCACCAACTCCAGCCACCGCAATTTGACTGCAATCTTCATCTTCAACACAGGGACCATAGCATTGGATCACATCACATTGTAAATGGACTTCGGAACCTATTTTGGGGGAAAGGCATACATTACAATTTTGATTATTTGAGAACATTTATCGAACTTACCTTCAGGGAATTTGAACATAGATCTAAGGGTAGCTTCGGCATAGTTACCATCTGGACTTGGCACAAAACGTGAAATAATTTCTCCATCCAAGGGACATCTGAAAAGGAGAATATAGTTTTTTTGTTTAAATAAATTGTAATAGAAATATATTCCTCTCGGGAATTTACCCTCTCTCATCAATCAAGGGAAGACTGAGATTCTTTTTGTCGAAAGCCATACAGTTGCCAACCTTAATGCCATGGGTACCTAAAATGATAATGAAATATTAAATTATATGCATATTTGTTTGCAGAAAAAGTAATAGAAAAGTGAGTAGTCGTCGGGAACTGCTTCAAAATAGGCTGCATTGCAATTCAAGTCCCCATTACAGAGGATCCATACTATTTAATACTCTTACACAGAAAAAATTAATGAATATTTTCATAATTCCATTCATAGTTGTTTTCCTATTGTATCTCACTTAGTATAAGAGTAAAATTTCTTATAATCGTGAGAACGCCACTCTTTTCTCAAAATGTATGTAAATGTTTCATTAATATCAAAACTATTTTCTTTCTATTCCTTTACCACTATTTACGCTCAGTTGTTATTCTCTTTGTTTCCTATATATTTCTCCCAACAAAAAAATAAAAACACCACTCACTGTTCGTCTGTGTTTAGTTTTGACAATCCGTCTCTCTCCTCACTTGGTGGTTGTTAGTTTTGTAATCGTGTGTTTCTGTCCACTTACTCGATTGTGAGTAGTTTAGCATTTCATTGTTTGTTTATTTCAGACACTGCACTATTATAAAATTCGCATATGTATTTTCCAAATTATTACGATATAAATATCCGATATAATATGTCAAGCAAGTGTTGATTCGAGCAACATAACCTTCCGAGTGCTTAACATTGTTATATGTGATGATTATTCCAATAGTGACTTAACATGCGAACATGGATGCCCATAAGAGAACGAGACAAGAACAAAAAGGAAAATCACAACTACAGAAAGCCATAGAAAAATTACCACAATGCAAACACACTCCATAGTTGATTTTTTCTCCCTCTCTGACCAGATACCAGTATTTAATGTTTTATGAATTACTTTCATAAAATGCAGAAACCCGGACATTGACAACACTTTCCTAACGCTTTTCATATAATATATGAATTATATTTTTATAAAATGTATATATTTAAATAAAAGCTCAAGGTTAAGGTTATATAGAAAGTAATTTAGACTGTTGAAAAACCTACTAAAGTTCGGATAGCCATATACTTTATCTCCTCCACTATAGGGATCTATAAAAATATATAAATTCTTGTGGTACTTGAATATTGAAGCTATATGACTTAGTTGTACACTTTTCTGGGAGAATCGATATTGGCAATTTCGGTTAGGAGATCTTTTAACCTCTGAGAACCCGAAATGCCAAAAAAAGTGGAATCCTTATAAGGCTCCCACTACTTGTAGATATGTCTAGATATCAAATATATGGATCAGTATAGTTATATGGGCTTTTTGTCAAAACATAGACCCATATTGAAAATTTTCTGTAAGAAGTTATTTTATCCTGCAATTTGGAATTCCAAACTGTCACTTACAGACATTTTCCTTAGAAAATGTCGCTTAGGCTTTCAATGGACTTTCTGTCAGGAGGCTTTTCATTATCTTAACCATTGGAATGCCTAACTATAGGCACATCGGTTGGAAAATGTGTCTACAATTATTAAAAGAGGTTTGTAAAATACGGCAAATACATTTTATGAAGGCTATGAGTGGATAATGTCCTAGTGAAGGAGTAAACAACTCTTTTAGAGTGATTTTCGAAGATTTGCAAAAATATGCTTACATCCCTTTTCCGGTAAATCTACCGGCATCAATAATCTACCTCGGCATCAACACATGAGTATATGACAAACCGGGATTGGCAGAACATGGCGCCACCCAGAGGAAATTGGCAACATTAAATAAGCAAGGATACCAACCAATGCACTAAATCGCAACGAAGCAGAAAACGTTATTTCTATGTGCATTCGAAGTCCCCTGACATTCTAATAACCAACCTCGGCCTCAACACATGAGAGAATAACAGGAGAATGACATCACTTTCCGGGAAAAATGGCAACACTAAATAAGCAAGGGCCCCAACCACTGTACCAAATTCAAGGATATGTTGTTCCTAGGCAAAGATAGATGACAGGCCCATCACCTAGGACAGGCTAACAATAATAATGAAATTTATATGTAATTGTGAAATGAGTTTACAGCCTTAAGGTCGAAAGACTTGTTAATATGAAATATAAATAAAAGCGTCAGACGGTGTTCATAACAGATACGTACCCTCAGCCTACGGTTTGCAGAGGTGTTAGGTATTACACACAGTTTTTATTATTCGCTTTATAAAAGGCAACTTGAAATAAATTTTGAAGAAATATTGCGACATGTAAAGTTTGGAAGAAGTCGCTTAGCCTCTTCGGCCAGACACGTAGACGGACGAACATTTGTAAATCGACTCCAAATTGTATGAAACGGATTTGGCCCCAAAGAAACATTTGGTCTAAAACCAATATTTTGATGAGGCACATTTTTACCCCAGCAAATTATATATGTACCCTTATAAGTCATTAGGCTGAGGGTATAAAAACGGGAAAAATCGTCTTATTTCATTACACGTTTATAATATCACACGTAACAAATCATGGAACTATGCGTATGAACCCAATAAAAAAGCAAAATTGTTCGTGGAAGATGCCCTTCGAATGAAAATGTGGTCACGTAGGATGTTCAACTCTCAAGAGAAGACTGAAATCCGTACGTGTTTGAAAATGTGGAATTGATGGAACATTCGCCGTTCAGCCCCCCCAGCGACTCCTCAATGTGTGCAAAGGATATTATTGTATCAAAACACTTCTTATGGATCCTTTAAAATATATTGACATTAGAACTTCAATTCTTATTGACCTATAGCTTCTTTCAGATCTATTTACAGCTGAATTGGTTTCTGAGATTATTTGCTCGGCTCCTCTTCTAATTACATACTCTATTTATTTCGTTTCAGGTATATGTGCATATTTTTAAACAACAAGGACATCTTCATTTATTATAAGGGTAAGTAAATCGTTTTTTCTATATAAAAGTTAACATTTCATATCTAGAATATATTTATCATATATATGTCTTCGAATTCAAATTTATATTTTATCCAAAGACATGTTATAACATTTGTACAACTAACTGTGGATATTTTGTCAATTCAGACAATCTGTATACGTCCGATGTTATAATTTCCAATTTGTGGTATTTAAATTAATGTATTTCTTCAAGACCTCCGACGATGTGAAAGCGAAAGTTAAACTAGAAAATCTATTTATTTAGAATATTACATTTGACTTTCTACATTCTTAGGTTAATATTTTAGCCTTTGGTGTATTAAATTTAGTTCAAAGGTATTAAAAACATCTTCAAATCTCAGTCAAAAAACATCGCTAATTATCTAACTTAGCTGGCAGGTTATTATTGCTTTGTGACAATGGGAAATTACCAAAATGACAAGGTTGTCTTATTGTTAGCATAATATGCTCTGGAACATTAAGATTAAAAAAAAAAACAATCATATGCTCATTAAGTTAATTATACTAAACAAATATTTTGTGGCGTAGGTCGATTAACATTTCTTTTGTTTTGGCTCAATACCAGAGTGCGAAGAATGATTAAAATACGCTCTTTCTCACGAATGGTCACGGGCGAGAATTCGAATGTTTTTAATTTATCGCGAATGATAAAGTTACATTGAATGCACAAGCATTTGCATTCTCTCGCAAATGTTCGCATTGTACGAAAAATCACGAACGATTAAATTTCGCTGCAAGCGTCGTCGATTCATTTGTTGCTGAAGAACATTCTCAGTTTTGAAAAACTCAAAAAACAAATGTTCCCAAATGCTCGCGAGCACTTTTAAATACAACAACAAACTAAAAAATTACATAAAAACACACACACACACAACGAATGAATGTGTGTGATGCAGAAAGTGTGTGGAATAACAAAATACATGTCCAACGACTATTAGGTCACGAACGTTTGTTGTTTCTGTTGTTGCTGTTTTGAGCATTCGCGAGAATTCGGGAATGTTTGTTTTTATTCCTGAGAGAATGTCAGAAAGAATTTCAACCACCAAACGAAACGAACGATCCTTGTTGTGTGCACTCGTTTGTTATGTGTGTGCGAACATTCTTTGGCGAATGATCGCTTGGTAAAGAATTTATCGCCATAAATTCATTCTTAAAATGAGCACAAAACGAAAAGAATGTATTTTGAATCATTCGCGACCGAATTTTTGCGCACCCTGCTCAATACACATTTTTGGAGTATATTATAAAAATTCGACTTGCAGTCCATTTTTTTTTCTTTTATTTATTTGAGTATATGAGAAAAAGAAATTACAATGAGGTTAAATATAGACGTCAAAGAACGATTATAATTTGCTATATATATTTTTATTTTTTTAAAATTAAATAAAAAATTTTTGCAAATTTTTGAAGGAATGACAATCGTTTAGCTTTAAGTATGGTGGAACCGAACTTATAACGTTAATTTTCGAACGAATTATATATCTGATATTGTTAATGTTAAGGCTATTGAGTGTAGGGTAGACTGGGACAGCTTCGGCATTGGGGCATTGGGATTGATAAAAAATGAAAAAACTATAGAAATTTCCTTTGGAGTAGATTTGGCATTTTAAAGTGAGGTACAATCGGTCATATACAGAAAGTGCTATTTTATTCCCTTTTTTCTTTAAAATCCTTTAATATCGTTCGAAATTACACATATAAAACCAAACGTGCTTTCATAAACGAAAATGTGATAGAAAACCGCTATTTCTGATGGTGTGTGTGGCTTTGAGACGTCAACGTCAGCCGCTAGAAAATATAGCCTTAAAAGTCAAACATTGAGACGCATATTGAAATAAAGTAGAACCTTTAGAGAATCTGAATTCCAACCAGACTGATAGCAATAATAATTATCAGGCTATGTCTATGAGTGCCTAATATGTCCCTACATTTTCAATGTAGGACATGGACCTCTTCATTTTAGGCATATTAACGGTTCAAAATAAATTTCCAGCTGAATTGGCAGCAATTTTGTATTGCAGGTTCTATAGTTTTATATTTTGGCATAGCTACCTCATTAAGGGCCTGTCTATTTTAAGTACGCGTTTTTCACGCGTTTCCTTTTTCAAACTATGTGTATGCTATTTGCCATTTCGAGTCTCAAGGGACAAATGTGTGTTCCATGCTCTATGCTCAACCCTTATAATTCAATTCCTCACCACTCTTGGTATATTAAGAGGCCTGAAAATTTTTTTCCAGCCGAAGTGACTACTATTTGAGATTTCGGATACTTAATAGAGCTCTTAATACATTAATATTAGTCCGTTTCACGTTTTGACATATCATCAATCTTATACTATCTCCAAATATTCTGAATTTTTTAGCCAGATTTTCCAACCGAAGGAGCTGTGAATTGGTATTTCGGGTTATTGGACAGTGGTTTACATAGTCTATACTTAAATGACCAATATAAGCACATATTTTGATATAAACCCAATACAATGGTCCCGACCTATTTTAGACATTTTTAAGCTTTTATCCACATATTCACACCAAATTTAATGTAGCAAGGTATTCTGGGTTCTCGGCGGTTGATAACATAGCCCCTAATAAAGTCTCGACCTACTTTAAGTATTTTTAATGATTTCACCACATTTTCTCACCAAAGTGGCGGTAATTTGTCATCCCGGATTCCTGATGAATAACTTCTACTCAGAAACTACTCAATAGACGTACTGCACCATTTTAGATATTTTGAGGTTTCTGCACCGAAGAAATATACTTCTTCTTAGGAAATTGTCAATATTCATGTTTTGATATAGCCCCTATACAAAGGTTCCGCTTAATTTTTGCTTTAGTTTGCTTTGTCATCATTTTCCAACCAAAGGGACTAAAAGGTTCTTAGAGGGTGAACCAATCTTTCCAGAAAAACATTTTCACACGAATGTGGCAGTCTCGATAACTGGCGAATAAAATACCTCTTCTCACATATTTTTCAATTTGAGGCATTTTATGGTCTTTAGCGCCTTTTCCAACCGAAGTTTTTGGAGATTGCCAAAAAATTGTGCATAATTTTTTCCCTGGTAGGTATAGAAGTCGGTCAACTTTTTTTACTTGGTTTACATCGGATACGATTTTATATGGATGTATATTACTGTTCGACCAGATTTTGGGGTATGGGAAATTCCTATGGGATTGAAAGACCTTGGTGAGTATATTGATTTGTTGCTATTGTATGTATTTTTGAGATTACCTTTATTAAGTAAAATCGAATGAGGAATTTTTTTTAAAACATTTCGGTGGGGTCCTCAAAGACGAGAAATCGATATTTTAGAGTTTTAATGGTATATTTTCAATTTTACCCGTTTCGGGTCACTAAAACCCTTTAGTATGTATTTTAATAAATTCAGTATACATTCCTTATTATGTAAAAATTACGGATTCGTCCGAATAATTTTCTAAAAGCAGATATAGTTATGCCAAATATGTCAAAAAATCAATTTCGACGAAAAAAAGTACCGGGTTTCTAAATTTTTGAACCGGATATATATTAAAAAATCGGATTCAATAAAATTTGCATGTTTGTTTACTATCTTTCTAATGATATGCATATAAGATTTGGAAACCGTTTTTATTATCTAAATATCCGGTTCAAAAATTTAGAAAGCCGGTAATTTGTCTTCGAAATTTATTTTTTACGAATCGGACTAAGCCATATGGCGCATTTTCCACTGGGCCAAAGCGTAATATTTCGTAGAATTAAGATATTTCGTTTTGCTTTTCTAGACCCTGAGAACCGATTCTCCATATTTTTTTCGAGTTTCACAACTTTCGAATTTTGAACCGAGTTAAATTTTTATTCTCATTTATTCTTACTTACCATTTGGTTTTGTGAATTCAGCACGAATTTTATATTCATGGCCATAGACTGTCTCACGAACACGACGATCGTTTTGTAGGAACTTCAGGATAACATGGGCGTTGTCGTCTCTGGAAGAAGAAGCAGAAAAAATGGAAAATAAAATATCAGAATAAAGTACACACATTTAGATATTAATCAAATGGGAGTTTCCACAATGTTAGACAATTCAATTAATCATTAATTGCGGACCAAGCCGGAGTTGTGGAGTGTTGAAACATACAAATGGACGTTATTATGTGTGCATGGGAAAACCACTAACCAGACACAACAAACAAACAGACAAATAAAAGAGAGATGGATGGATGGAAGAAGGAAAAAATGTCAGTTGTGCAAAAATAAAAAAAAAAAAACACAGCCATGCGCTGTTTGCCATTACTGGGCATTGCATTGTCATGGATTGCATCACAGGCGGTATGTTCGTTACTCCTTCATGGGTTGCACACGGTCCGTGGACAGTACCTGATAGGTTGCCTACATAAGTTGGGCTATGGGCTTTTGTTGTTGCTTTTTTGATTATGGAATACAAAAGTACAAATAGTGGGCTATCGCTTGTCCACCGTCGAACCAAACTATCCGCCGCCGCCATCGACAACAAAACGCAAAACCCCCGATACCGGTTTCGCAAATATGAAAAACTCAAACAAAAATCAAATCAAATATATCAGCAACAACAAAGGTAACAACAAAAATAGCCAACAGAAAATATACTACCGCTGCAACAAATTTGTTGTTTAAATTGTTGTTGACTGCCCCATTTGATGACTGAGGCGACTGCATGGGGACTTGGGGGCGCAACAAAACGAATTGGAAACGAATGCGAATTTAACAGAGCGTAAATTATTATTTAATTTCCCCATTCAGTTTGCCGTTTGGCGGTTCGTGTTTTTCCATATTTTTCTCATTTAGTTGGTTGTTGTTGTTGCTGTTGTTTGTTTTACTTTTTAGCTGTTATTGCTTTTGCCACAAAACTATTATCCATTGAGTTTAACAACGACATAACACAATGTCTGTCCATCCGACCATGGTGGGACAATTATTAGGCCAACCGAGTGCAACTAGCAAAAAATAGTAATAGATAGACAAAACAAAAAATCGTTTTTTAACAAAGACTAAACTAATGGATAATAGTTACTTAGGTACTAGATAATTTTGCTGGTTGCATTTGTCGTATATTAGGGTGGAGCGAAAGATAATAAAAGTAATTGAATGATTAGAGTTATTTTTGATGAAATATTTGTCTCAGAAGAGAAACATGACAACACTAACTAAGCAAGGACCCCAACCACTACATTGTACTTTAGGAGTCATTGTTTCTAGGCTACGATAGATGGCAGCCTCATCACCTAGGACAGCAGGCTTCTGTAGAACAATAATCTTCTTATGTGGAGTAAATACAATGAAATGAAATCCAATAAGATTGCGATGTTTTGTGGAAGCCCTATGCACCCAGGAGGAGTAACAGGAATCATCATCTAAAAATTATGAAATCATCTTTAATTGGATAATTTTTTATAATTTGGCTGTTGGATATACAAATTGCAAGAGTCAGATAAGAAGTCGCGAATTTATCGATACAATAGTGACGTAGGGGATAATAGATACCAAACATCGGCTCTGATTGGCTTTAAAATGGCAAAGCCCAGGCTTATCTTGGTCCCTCTTTCATCTCAATTGTGAACACTGATCTCGTCGCGGTGTCAACTGGTGTTGCTACTTTCATCATCATAGTGAACTGATATGTTCACCCATAAGACCTATAAAAATGGGTTGAGTCGTCGGGTTACTTGCCCACACTCGGAAAACCCCTCCTACTCTGAAAAAGCAACGACAATGAAAATCAAACCCCCCAATGTTGACGATCCCCGCAAACGTATAAAGGATCACGATCTGCGAATCTGTACTTGGAATGTGCGCACGTTGTACAGAAGAGGCGCAGTTTTCGTTTTGGCGGAAGCACTCAAGAAGTAGAAAGCATTGCCTTACAGGAAATGCGATGGAAAGGGACAGGCGTAAGTAAATCAGATGATTACGCCCTGTATTATAGCTGTCATGAAACGAGACATGCATTTGGCTGCGGATTTATGGTTAACAGGAGAATAACAGACTTCGTCTCCAAATTCATTCCAGTAGATGAGCGAATTGCTATAATCCGTATAAAATCTAAGTTCTTCTACATCAGTCTTTTTTGGCCATGCTCCGACGGAAAATAAAGATGAACAGACCAAAGACATATTTTTCGATCGCCTAGAAACAACATATGGCCGCTGCCATGGTCATGACATTCAAATTCTGCTAGGAGAATTTTAATTTACCCACCTGCTTGACGAAAGCACTTCTTGTCCCGATAATAGTATAAAGCACAATGACAAAGAATTACCCACTCCCCACAAACTGCACCAAAAGCAGCACTTGGGTAACAAAAAACACCATCAAGAAATCCATGGTACGATCAGGAGTATCGTAATGCTACAGATGTGGTAAACGTAGCGTACAGGGCAGCCCTGCAGACAGTAGTTTGAGAGAGAATTATCGGGATTCAGAAAAAAGAACAGGAAAAATATGAGCCGCAGCAAATCGAGATGTACAGGAGACAGAACGAAGTTCGGAAATTTTAACAACGTGTAAAACACCAAATCAAGAAATCTGGTGACAGATACAAATAACGTGTTGAGGATCTGGGAGGAACATTTTGCAAAGTTTTGGTATCAAATAGTGGTCGTGAAGAAGATACCCCAGAACCTTAAACGAGATGACGGTATGGAGTGTATACCACCTAGTCAAGATGAGGTCGCAATAGCACAAAAAAGGAGACAAGACGATGTGTACCAACTATAGAGGATTATATTAGTCTCCTTCCCATCGCATATAAATTGCTATCGAGCGTGTTGTTTGAACGATTGAAGTCAACGGCCAATGACATTATTGGACCATATCAATGCGGCCTGACATTGACATAGTCAAACATATCGAGCTCCAGTAACTACGGTGGTTAGGTCATGATGTGCGTATGGATGAGAATGCCACAGCTCACAAGGCATATAAAAACGAGCCTACTGATTCACGCAGAAGGGGAAGGCCATGAATTCGATAGAAAAATCAAGTGGAAACCAGCATTTCAAAACATGGTCCTTCTAATTGGAAAAACGGGGCACCAGATCGACGAGGCGGGATTTTTTTTTTAAGTTCGACTTATGGAACAAAAAGAGCTATATATCTTTTCTTTTGTAACCAATAGTGAAATTCGATGTAGAATAATTTTGTCTTTGACAAATTTTCCTAAGATGCATTTTTTTGAAGACCTTGACACATTTCTGCACGGTGTTTATTTAATTTTTTTCTCCTGTTACTTCTCTTGGGATCATTGAGGGGCTTCCCAAAATCATTACCATTGTGTTATTTTTTGAAATCATTGTTTTTTATATTCCATCTAATTAGATGCTGCAGGCTGTCGAATGTGATGTGGCTGTCATCTATCGTTGCCTAGAAACAACGCCTCTTTGAATTTTATGCAGTGATTGAGGTCCTTGCTTATTTATTTTTGCCATTTATCCCTATGCTTTATCCTTATCCTCATGTCTTGATGTTGATGCCGAGCATGGGTATTAGAATGTCAGGGAGCTTCGGATGGATTTCATATGGAGAGTGAACAAATGTTTCCTGCTCTGCTGGGATTCGAACCTTGGATCATCGGTTTGTAGTAAAACATACTTTGAGAGATCTTGAAATGTAATACCTACAAAATCAACATCGCCCGATGTAATTCACAATTTTTCCATTTTTAAATCATTTCAATTTGTATTTATTTATTTTTTTTTTTATACGAAATGGTACTATGAGCCAGCTATGGATAATACGATGGCTACAAATCAATAGTATATTGTTTCTTTGTCCCAAAATTTAAAATAAATTCGGTGAGCAAGGCTTTATTATTGGACGAAATATGTGTTTTTTTCACAAATCCTAGTTTTTGGCAAGTTTTTTTATACCCTTCACCATGAGGTGGAGAATGTTTTGGATTTCACATTTCGTTTGCAAAACCATTCAATCAAAATATTCATCGGATAACCTAGAAAGCGTATATATTCATGATCAGAATAAAATTCCCTGTCGATTTTGCTATGTCAGTCTGTCAGTTGAAATCTTGATAGGGATCGTAATATATATGATAGGTCCATGCTTTGGTATAGCCCCCATGTAACAGTACCGAAAATGGGCTTGCCATTTGCAGTTTTTTGAAGGTTTTAGCCGCATTTTTCACCGAAGTAGCTTTTGTTTAGCATTCAGGGTTCCTGAAAGGAGAAAACATTTCTGCAGAAAATATTCGATATATGTAGATACATATTTTGAGCATATAATGAAGGTATACTTCATAATTTCGATTTAAGGCAAATATTCACACTAATAAACGTACGCATTTATTGATGCTATTAACTTTATTCCATATACCTTGCTTGTAATAGGTACTGCAAATATATACATAAACATGTACTTTTTTCTTTGGTGAACACTAACACATAAGAGTAATAATGACAGATTATAATAATAACAACATTTTAGGATTTGAAATTTTCATTCGACCATGTCAATAACAATAAAAAGGCTCACATATTACCAGATAACTGGTAACAAAATAACAACAACAACTCCACATCGTACCACCACCACGCACGATTCACATACCTTGAGTTTAATTTTCTTAGTTTTAGATTACTCTATAATTATGTTTAAGAATTTAAGTGTGTTCTGTTTCAGTCCAAACCAGCAAAAAGAAAAAAATGAAATATTCAACCACCCACTATCAAATTTCTATATTGTTTCACGAAGACACAACCATGCCGGGCAAGACAAGACAGCTTTAAACCGATTCGTTCCATTGGTGAAGCCCACGTTCATGGCTTAAAATTTGTCAAGAGATTGAAATGACGGTGACGACAACGACGGCAACAGCAATATTATGAAGTCACTATGAAGTGATGTGATTATTGTTGGAGGTTTTGTTGTGGTTGTTGTTGGTGGTGTATAGTAAATTGTCACTGTGTGTGGCGTTGTCAATGAACTTCAGCAAAAATGTTTTTTTAGAAATATGTTAAATGAAGGAGATGAAAAAAATAAGTAGAAATATAAAAAATGAGATGGATTTAAGAAGACTCAAGTATTTCAAGATTGAACATGAAATGAGTCATATAATTAACAATGGTTTGAATTTGTCTTGGTAAAAAAAGCATTACTTATAAAAGTCCAAAAGGTTTTTTTTAGATTTCCACGCCTTAATACAAAATGACTTCTTAACTAATACCAACTAATACCAAATCGTCCAATATGCTACTCATACGAAAAACATTTTTATAGAAAGATCTGAAAATCTACTTTGAGAAACCTAGCGGTTTATTTTCAGAATATCAGAAGGTCCTTTTGTAGTAGTCCTTCTTATATAAATCATTTGATATTTGTATGAAAGACCAGTAGCTCTTCTTACATGAAACATTTTATGTGAAGGCCTTCTGGTCTTCTTAAAGAATATCTTCTGGCCATCTATAAGAATAACTTCTAGCCTTCTATAAGAAGACCTAGTCATTTGTATGAAAACCTTCTGGTCTTCTATATGAAGACTTTCTGAGATTCTATAAGAATACCTTTTGGTATATTGACAAATTTATTCTAGCCTTCTAGAAGAAGACCTTCTGGTCTTCCATAAAGTAACCTATTGGCATTCTATTCAGTTTTCTACTGGTAGACTTTTGATCTTCTACAAGAAGATACTTATATATTTTAGTATAAGACCCCTTGGTCTCTTATCAGAAAAATATTCATCCACCATGAGATGTACATTCAAAATACCTAAAATTAAATAGGTTCTTCAATCTCTGAGAATACGAAATACAAAATTAAAGATTTGCGTTGGAATGTTCGATTAGGAACTTCAACGTAACGAATCTAGGCGGATCTATATATTGGGCTACCCATATTGACAATTTTCTCTGAATATGCTTTCACTCACCAAGAACACGGAATTCCTAATTACATAAATGTAAAATAAGCTTAACTCAATAAAGGCAGAACCAGTGTATGGGACATACATTAGAAAAGGAAGCCTCAATTTTAAATTTTCTTCCAAAAACTAGAAATCATCTTCATTTGGAAAATGCAGTTGCGGCAATGTATTTTGGAAAATACGCCTAGGGTCACCAAAATGTAAAAAATCGTGTACAACCTTCATATGAGAACTATGTAAAAACATAAAAATATACTCTGCAAATATGTTTTTCGAACTTCAATAACCCAGACAAATGCTCGTTGCCTATAGTGGCTCGTTCTTAAAAATTTACGAAAATGGGGTGATGTTGGAGTGGTATGGAGGCCATATCAAAATATGGACTTACATTTTGAATCCCAAATACGTAATTACAGCCACGTGAATATTATGTTTATGTCAGGGACCTATAATGCAAATTTTCTACAAAAGTTTTTCCATCCTCCAAAATGCCTGAATGCGACGTTACAACGATATCGTTTGGATAATACTCCAAAGTACTAAAGAAATGGAAGAGGGCTATGTAAAAACATGGAACATTACTTTCTGCAAAAAGTTTTTCACCCTCCAATGGCCGGGACTTTCCAATTGTCGAAAATGGGGTGATGCTGTTATGGTATGGGGGCTATGACAAAATATGGACCTATATTATTGTAAATGGGGCTTTGAACTCCCTATAATGGGTTTTTGATACCCCATACAACTACCACTGAAGTTGAAGTTTCTGCGGATGTATATTCCGAGCCAGGGCAAAATTTCGCGATATATGCACTCTTTTTACCGATTATAGGTCAACAGGACCACTTTCTAATTCCAGCCATACTTTCCAAATCTCGTTCTCCAGGTTTTGGTTGATTTGACCCTCGGAATATTGACCGATCATCATATAAACTGCCGTTCGTGGTATTTGACCAGAATAGTTTTCGGTTCATTATACCCCCGAAATATCATCTAAACATCACCAAAAATTACATGCGTCGTCCTTGACCATAAATGGAACTTCATGTTAAATTTCAATGGGATCAGCTTGACAATTCCGTCCCCTAGTGGGGTAATAGTAATACTAAACAATATCAGAATACGTAGACCCCTGGACATATTTAATTATAATTCCCCCAACAATATAATAGTTATATAATAATTTAAAGATTATGCGCCCCTCTTGGATATACTATTTACTTCTCGTTTCTATATCCCTCAGGAGCAGTCTGGGTCAATTTGATCCGCTAACTGTTAATAAATCTTCATTAAAACAGTCATGCTTATATTTTGTCTAAATCCTATTTCCCTTGAAAATTTTCTCGATTCCGCCTACAATAGGGGTATTCTTAGGCCAGAACTCTACTTACATGCAACATTTCGTGACGATTGTGTCCTGCATCGTGTCAACAGAGAATGGAGAATGGACAGACGGGCGGACACACATGTCTAGATCGACTCAGCTAGTCCAGATTTGACGATCGGCATATTGAAAGGTATGTCTAGGAAAGGTATGTCTAGGCTTTACAAACTCTTGCTGCCCTATAGCTATAATATTCTGACAACATATTTGTGTAGGGTATAATGAGGTATGACCTTGATATGAGGGGGAATGACAGAACATGCACCCATATTGAATAGTTTCTTCAAAAAGGTTGTTCAAGATACTGGAATGCAAAATTGTAGCCACTTTGGTAGGAAAATGTGGTTTAAACCTTCAAAACAACAAAAATCAGTCGGCACCGTTATATGGCGGTTATACCAAACCATGGGTCTTCTCATCCCATTTTCAATTGCAGACATCCTAGAAGTAGCAGCAATGTATGTGAAAATGCTCTATCGGAAGTACGGACTGACAAATAGAACGGTATAAAATATTATTCTTATCAAAAATATGTATCATCGGGTATAGGGATGTCCAGGGTACCCGGCCTAAAATTAATTTTATTATAAAAAATGTATTTTGCAATGAAAAATTTCATATTGAACCAACGGGACCCTTGAAATGAAATCCTGTATATGTTGTATGATCTGCTTCTAGACGGATATTTCAAGATATTTCAAATGGATTGAGAATTTTCCCCTTCGTCATGGAACGTGGTCTTTTAAATTGGAGGAGATGCTCACAAGACCGACGCGCTTGGAAATCTTTTTTTAAGCTCGGCTCGTGGAACAGCCATTCTGTAACAAGCCAGCTATGTAAGTAAGTTCTATTAGTGTACCCTTAGTTCTTCATTATTGGACCTTGCGGTCTTCGAATTCCGAATTATTGGACCTTGTGGTCTCAGAATTCTTTTTCCAAACTTTCTCCTTCACAACTTATTAAAAATTATTACCTTTCCAAATATTACATTCAATGCACGTGTGTGATGCATTTTTTCTTGTCATTAACTATTCGATAGCAGACAAACATACATATATCAAGTTGTGTTATCTGACATTAGTCAATTACCATTGAAATTTGGCAAACACCAACAACATCACAAACATGTTTAACACATCACCCTTCAACTGTGTGATAACCTTCAAAATAATCATTCAACTATGCCGAAGCTATCGTGGCCGCAGAATGGCATTGAGGCAATAATTTTCCACCGCACATGAGCACCACATTCACATGCATGGGTGCTGAAGAGCCAATCGCATGAAATTTTTCAAATGCAAGTGAAATTAAAATAAAAAATTATAAATCGCTTACCTTCCAAAACCCGATTTGCCACAGGTGATAACATAAAACTTATCATCGGCCAATTCCAATGTCTTGTGGACACGTACCGCCAGTTGAATGGACCTTTCCTCGGTGCGCTATTTTTGTGATTGAGAAAAAAGAAAGAAAATCGAAATAAATGAACGATTAGAGAGTGGGGTCATTTGTCTGGGTGATTGATTAAAAAATTAGTTTGAACAATTTGCAAATGTGATTTTTTTTTTTAATTTTTAATATGGTAGAGATAAAATCTTAAGCAGATTAAATTATAAATATTTTTATTAAATGATTATTACATGTGGTGTCAATCAGCGGTGTTGGCAAAAATTAATTCCCAAGTGTTTTAAGTGAAAATGGTGCACAATATTTTTTATTTGTTTTAATTGAAAAAAAAGTTAATCTATATCAGCATGTTATTTGCATTGAAAAAAAAACTACTTATCCATAACAGCTTTGAGGTTGGTTTTTAGTTGCAGCTGTTTTTGTTGTACAAGTCCAAGACATTGCAACCAATTTTTGTATACAAAGTCGTAGATTGTGTCTTGTTTGTATTATTTTTTTCTCCTTTCGTATTACATATTTTATGCCACACATAATGATATAATTGTACAAAAAAATATATTGTAAACAATTGCCTTTTTTAATATTTTTTTTACTACAGAGTAACAAAAATATGCATTTGTATTGTTGCTAGTCATTGCATTCACCTTAAAAAACAAAAGACTTAGGCAACAAACTTGCCACGACGTATGTTTTTCTTATGGTCATATAAACCAATTGAATGGTTTATGCAAAAAAATAAAAATGAGTTTTTTTTTATTGGTTTAATAAAAAAAAATAATTGCTTTTGGAAAGACAATTCCATATTGCTTCGCATATACGAGTAGAGCTATTTCAACTTCACACAAAGTGTTTAATTTAGATTAAAAGTTCATTGTAATGTGTGAACGGTTTGATAGACACCCCGGGCTTATTTGGCGAATTTTGTTGCAAAATAAATGATTATTGAAACATTGTGGCAAGAGTAGGATAATTTTCGGTCCTGGATAATTAAAAATTATTCAAATCGGATTATATCTTTACTTGAATATTCCAAAACTTAATCCCTTAAGGGGACCCCCCCATTCTCGGGGTCAAACATTTTTTGATTTAATTTGATTCTACACTAATTCAAGAATGCCTCTACAAAATTTCAAGTGAAAATCTCAAGAACTCTTGAAGATATAGCCGATTTATTGTGTCAGCATCAAGTGACGGCTAAAGGGCTTCTCAAACTTTAAACACGTTTTTATCTTTTGCGAATGGCGGGCACGATAACTCAAAAACTAATAACCTAATCGATTCCAAATTTTTACACGCGTAGATTTTCCAAACATATTTTTTCAAAGGTCCACCATTTTGTTAACTATAGAGCGAAGTTAATAATCCTAGTTCATACGAGAGCCAGACATGTACTCTTTCTAACGCCGTTGGAATTTTCGAATTCCGATGTTCCAGTGAGAAGTTATCATGCCCGCCATCAAAAATAAGGACTTTTCTTTAATTAAAAACAACAACAACAAACATTAACAAAATTTTTTTGTAAATTATTTTTCTTCTCTTTTAAATTTTCAAATATATATGTGCAAAGTTACAAACCTTAACAAGTATTGGTATTGATTTACCAGCCCATTGAAAATCTTGAAAATTTAAAATCGAGAATGGGGGGTTCCCTTAATACACTAGTCCTTGTTTGTGGTTTGTGATTGTGTGTTACGACTGTTTATACTCTACACAACTATGTTTTCAGGGTATTATAGCTTTGTGCAGCCCCAAGAGTTTTAACGCCGCGAAATATTGGTCCTAGACCCACCTTTAAGTATACCGATCGTCATATCTCGACTAGTTGAGTCAATCTAGACATGTGTGTCCGTCGGTCCGTCCTTCCGTCTGTCCATTATAATTTGTAAACACGATACAGGCCACATTTATGGACCAATTTTCACGAAATTTTACATGTAGGATGGGTTCTGGCCAATGAAGACCTGTATTGTTTTTGGTAGAGATCAGTTAATATTTTGGGGATGAAATGAACCAAATACTTAATTTTTGTCCGATTTTCTGGTCGCTCCAGATAATGGTGGTTATTATGGCCCGAACATCGCGAAATTTTACATGGAGAACAGGATCGGGCCAAAGAAAAAGCATGCCTGTTTTGATAAAGATTGGTCAATATTTAGCGGGTCAAATGGACCCTGACTTTTGTGTGAAAATTTAAAAAAAATCTATTCTATGGCGTATATATTTGCCCCTGAAGGGCATAGACCCGAGAAGTTGATAGTATATTCAAGAGAAGTGATTGCTGTATGTACTCGGATGTGGGAGTTACACTTAAATATTTACAGGTGCTTACATATTCATATATTATTTAGTAAATCATTGACACACTAGAGGGAAAAGAACCATGAGGTTTCAGTTATGGTCAAGGACAACTCCTATAATGTTCGGTGATGATCAGATAATAATTTTGGGATAAAGTGGACCGAAAACTTAATTTTTGGTGTTTTTTTTGAGTCGATATATAGGCCACAATTAAAAGCCGAACATCACATCATAACCCACGGTGGAGGTGGAATATGGACAAGTAATTAAAAGGACTGTATTGAATATTAGTTATACTCGAAAAATATGTCAGTGTAAGGAGAAGGTGCTCTTGACCTCTAATCAGGCCTAGGCTCGGAACAAAAAACCGTAGAAAGTTAGAGTTCCGTGAAAGTTGTGTAGGGTATCGTATGGTCGGCCCCGTCCGACTATACTGCTCCGCTCACTGGTTTTTAATTTGCTTTGATATTCTCCGTGCAGCTAAATGCAATAAATTAAAGTAATGAGAGGGAAAAAAAGTAAAAAAAACTGTAAGCTTCAAATACCGAAATATGTCTTCTTTCTAGAGAGGGGCTTCAGTGTCTTCTACATAATACACAATATATTCCAAAAAACCCTGCGAAACTTTTTCTTGTTATAAATAAGGGTTTCTCTCCTTATGCCCTGTAGAGTACATCGATTGCAGATATTTGAAAATATCACAATCTTCCAATATTTAATAGACAGACGGTCTTCACGGATATATTTAAAACTCATCCATACACAAGAAAATAAAAAAATCAATGTTTTATCGAATAAATATATAATCTTCATGTCGTAATATATACCACATGGCAGAATATATTTGGTTAGACAGACATTCTTTGGTCAGAATTGAAATTTATTGGGATCTTCTCTTGGCAGGAGATTTCATTCAGGTCTTCTATAGTTTGGCCTATATGTATTTCATATTGAGAATACCATCTAAGGATTTCACACAAAAAAGAAATTTGGGAAACTTTCTATACACAGAATACCTTTAAACCACTGTTACAGAGACAAAGGATATTCTAGATATATCTTACGTCTTAAATATATACTTTCTACAATATTGCTTCGTAAAAGACCGAATATAGAATATGATATTCTGTATGCCCAAAAAGACAGTCTAAAGAAAATCCTTTTACAGTTTGTCGAGATACAATTATCAACATTACATCTTCACTGGACAGACATTAGACAGAATACCTTTGGGATGTCTTCGGGTGCAGAATATCTCCTACAAATCTCGTATATACAAAAGAATTTAAATGAATATTCTATAAACTGTATATACCATATAAATTGGTATTTTCTTGTCATGACATCCATAAGAACAACGACGATTTTATAATGGGAAATCATTTTGCAAGTTTTTCTAAAAGTCTTCTATAATAGAAAATATCCTGTATTCATTCTATAGACAGAATCAGCTTTTCTATAGATTGAAGAGCTCCTGCAGCTTTTCTATAGTCTGAGGACCTCTTGCAGTTTTTCTATATCCAGAAAATCTCCTACAACTTTTCCATTGATAGAAAGCCTTCTGCTGATCTCTATACATCTTTCATAGAAAAAAAATACTTTCTCAAGAAGACCCTTTCGAAGTACTACTGTGGAATTTTACAAAAGAACCAGAAGATTTATTATAGGTTTTCTCCAGAATTTCAGTACCAAATTCTAGATGATTGAAAACATCTAAATGCCTTCAAAAATCTCTTTTAGACACAATTAAATACGGTAGTCGATTTTTTAGACAGTTGATATACTATATAGTAGAAGAAGAAGTATCCGAGCTCTAAGCGTGAATTTTTAAAGAAGTTCCTGATCTCTAAGCCGGCATTTTTAAAGAATATTTCTAAAGAAGTTTCGGAGCTCAAAGCGTGGATTTTTTAAAGAATATTTTTGAAGAAGTATCCGAGCTCCAAGCGTGAATTTTTAAAGAATATTTTTGAAGAAGTATCCGAGCTCTAAGCGTGAATTTTTAAAGAATATTTTTGAAGAAGTATCCGAGCTCTAAGCCGGCATTTTTAAAGAATATTTCTAAAGAAGTTTCGGAGCTCAACGCGTGGATTTTTTATAGAATATTTTTGAAGAAGTTTCGAAGCTCTATGCCGGCATTTTTAAAGAATATTTCTAAAAACGTATCTGAGCTCCAAGCATAGCTTTTTAAAGGAATATTTTATTGAAGAAGTAACTGACCACCAAGCGTGGATTTTTGGATTTTTAATAGAATATTTTTGAAGAAGTTTCGGAGCTCTAAATGTAAATTTTTAGAGAACATATTTGAAAAAGTTTCGGAGCTTGTTTAAAGGAATATTTTATTGAAGAAGTAAATGAGCTTCATGTTAGGATTTTTTAAGGAATATCGGAGCTCCAAGGGTAGATTTCTTTAAAGAATATTTTTGGAATAAATTTCCCGCGTGGATATCTTTAAAGAATATTTTTGAAGATTTGTCCGAGCTCCAAGCGCGGATTTTTTAAAGAATTTTTTTGAAGATGTATCCGAACTCTAGACATCGATTTTTAAAGAATATTTTTGAAGATGTATTCGAACTCTAGGTGTCGATTTTTAAAGAATATTTTTGATATGCATCCGAGCTCCAAGCGAGAATTTCTTTAGAGAATATCTTCGAGGAAGTATCAGAGCTCCAAGCCGTGTTCCAAGCGTAGATTTCATTAAAGAAAATTTGGAGAAGCTCCAAGCGCAAAAAAATCTCAACATTAATCCACTTTTTAACCACTGTAACCCTTCATTGTTACAATCAAATCTATGCGTTGTTGTACACAACACGACAACAACATCGGCTGCTGCAAAAAACGCTATATAACAAATTTGCATTCCACATGCTCTGGTTAGTGGCAGGCACTCTTTGTGTGTTTGTATGTGTGTGTCTGTAGCATAATCTATGACCAGTCACAAATAGAACAAATTTATTATCGTTTTTCTTGATGTTGTTGTTGCTGCTGTTACTGTTGTGTCTAGTTTGAATATTTGGTCCGTTGTTGCTGTCCCCGCCATCATCATCGTTGGACGTCTGCTTCTTCTGCTTCTTCTAATCTAATGGCCATAAAAACTGTCGGTCCGTCTGTCTGTCATGCTGTTATTGCCCCAGTGCAACTGGAACACATTCACCACTTCTTTGGAACGACCTGAATCCAACTAGACATGATTGTTATACGACTCGGAGCTACCTGGAAACATGTTTGGTTTTTTGGCAATTGTTTTGTGCATGCTGCTGCTGGATGGATGGATGGATAACAGAACTCTGTTGCTGGCGAATTCGTTGGCTGGTAAATTGCCAAGCAAATGGAGTGACACTCCCTTAAAAATATATACATACATATATAACCAGAAATCAGGTAAGCAACAACTTCGTGTGCTAGACAATGTTCGGAAAAAAACTTTTTATAGGATTTGTGAGTTTGAAAGTTTTTTTGTGGTTTATTCGCCTCGAAGGTGGGTAGAGTCGCAACACAGAAACTGCAAGTTTTCTGGGTGCAACAAACAGCCACCAAACACACATACACACACACCCTCACTCACATATACGACTTTTAACTATAGCAGACAAAATGACCATTTTTATGTCTTAGCCACTTAGAGACATACATACGTTTGGACACAACATGCCTGTTGCTGGTTCAAACAGCTAGATAAGCATAGCAAAGGTGGCTGCACTTCTAGGTAGAGGTGAGTTGCCCCTCTCCGCCCTCCCCTTCAAAAGCTGTGGTTGTTATGCCGGCATTATACTACCACCACTATGACAATTCCGATTTTGAGATTTCTGTGTTACATACGTGAAAAATCAATGACGCACGTTGTTGTTTTTCCAGTTCGACGGCGAACCTGGCGGGTTGTGTTTTTTATTTTGGCCACAAGTGGCTTGGCAAACAGCAGCAGATTTATTGGTATTGGTGATATTGCAATGCAAAGTAGCATTAAGTGGCCAACTACTCGTACATGTGTGTGCCCTATTCGCCTTAATATTTATTGGCTATTTTTTGTTGTTGTCTTGCTGATTTTTTTTTTCAAATGAAAATCCGTGACTACGATTTAAAAAATATAAATTAGAGCGGTTTGGCATTTTGCAGAACATAAATCTAAGGGTAACTTTCACAAAAATTCGATTTGCTTTGAAGGTAATTTGTGTCTAGAAATTCTGGCAGAGTTTGTGTCTTAAGTCTTTTGTTTGCATTGGAAAATTATGAGTGGAACAATTATAGAAAGTTGAGTAAAAGACATATGTCCACAGAAGTCCTAAAGGAGAGCATAAGAAAGGTATTATTTCTATAGAAGATGCGAAGGAATTTTTCTACATATAGAAGTACTGCCGAAGGTCTTCTAAGTATAGAAAAGATGCCGGAGGTATTCTTGCTATATATGATCGGTTGGAGATCATCTGGCTATAAATGAGCTATTGGAGATCTTCTATCCATAGAAAATGTGCCGGAGGAGGAGGAAGAGTACCAGAAGGTCTTCAATCTATAGAAGAACTGTAGATGGAGATTGGAGGTATTCTATACACAGAAGAGCTGCATAATATCTTCCATCTATAGAAGAGATACAGGAGGTCTTCTTTCTATAGAAGAGCTAAAGGAGGTCTTCTTTCTATAGAAGAGCAAGAGGTCTTCTTTCTATAGAAGAGCAAGAGGTCTTCTTTCTATAGAAGAGCAAGAGGTCTTCTTTCTATAGAAGAGCAAGAGGTCTTCTTTCTATAGAAGAGCTACAGGAGGTCTTCTTTCTATAGAAGAGCTACAGGAGGTCTTCTTTCTATAGAAGAGCTACAAGAAGTCATCTTTCTATAGAAGAGCTGTAGGAGGTCTTCTGTCTAAAGAAGAGCTACAGAAGGTCTTCTGTTTATATAAGAGCTACAGGATGTATTCTATCCATAGAAGAGCTGCAAAAACGTTCCATTAAGTCTTATCTCTATAAAAGACCTGAAATAGAGCTTCTAACAACAGAAGAGCGGCAGAAGGTCTATAAAATAGCTAATGGATGTCTTTAATCTACCGAAGAGGTTTTTATAAAGAATATTTTTTGAGGATTGAGCCTTGGTTTTTTAAAGAATATTTGTGGAGGGTTGTCGGATCTTCAAACGTGGATTTTTAAAGGGTAATTTTGAAGAAGTATCTGAACATCAGGCGTGGATTTTTAAAAAATATTTTTGAAGGGTTATTGGATCTAGAAACGAGAATCGTTTAAGAAAATATTTTTGGAGGACTCAAGCGTGGATTATTTAAGAATAGTTTGGAGGGTTATCGGAGTTTCAGGCGTGGATTTTTAAACGAATATTTTTGGAGGATTATTCGAGCTTCAAGCGTGGATTTTAAAATGAATATTTTTGAATGATTATTCGAGCTTCGAGCGTGGATTTTAAAATGAATATTTTTGAACGATTATTCGAGCTTCAAGCGTGTATTTTAAAACGAATTTGTTGGAGAATTGTCAAAGCTCCGCGCTTGGAGCTCCGATAACCTTCAAAAATATTGTTTAAAATAAAAAAATCCATACCTTTTTTTAAATAATATTTTTGGGGGTTATAGGAGCTCCAAAAAAAGATTTTGAAAAAGAGTCCGAGCTTTAAGCGTGTATTTTTTTAAATAACATTTTTAGGAAGATTCCGAGCTTTAAGAGTTGATTGTTTAAAGAATATTTTTGAAGAAGTTTCTAAGCTTTAAGCGTGGATTTTTTAAAGAATATTTTTGAAGAAGTTTCTGAGCTCTAAGCGCGGATTTTTTAAAGAATATTTTTGAAGAAGTCTCTGAGCTCTAAGCGTGAATTTTTTAAAGAATATTTTTGAAGAAGATTCTGAGCTTTAAGCGTGAATTTTTTAAATAATATTTTCTGAAGAAGATTCTGAGCTTTAAGCGTGGATTTTTTAAAGAATATTTTCTGAAGAAGATTCTGAGCTTTAAGCGTGTATTTTTTAAAGAATATTTTCTGAAGAAGATTCTGAGCTTTAAGCGTGGATTTTTTAAAGGAATATTTTAGGAGGGTTATGTAGCTTCAAGTATGGATTTTTAAAATAATATTTTTTAAGAAGATTCCGAAGTATCCGATCTACAAGCGTGGATTTTTAAATAATATTTTTTAAGAAGTATCCGAACTCCAAACCTGGACTTTTTAATGAGGCTTTATGCTTGTTTTTTTTATGAATATTCCCGCTGAATTATCCGAACTTCAAGCGTGGATTATTTTGCAAGAATATTTTGGAGGATTTTTGTGGAGGTTCCGATTGCTACGAGTGGATTCTTTAAATTAGTTTTTGTCAAGGATTATTTTAGCTTTTAGGGTCGACTTCTTTTTCAAGAGAAACCTAGTATCCTAGCCCTTATAGTGGAGTTTTTTCAAGAGTATCGACGTTTTTGGAGTGATTATTTTCCTTGCGGAGTATCCTAAATATAAGAGTGGATTCTTTCTCCAGGAGTATGCGAGCCCTATGAGTGGATTAATATATGATTTGCAAGGAGTATTTGAAGTCTATGTGGGGACTTATTCTCTGGAAGTATCTGATCACTATGAGTGCATTTTTTCCAAGGAGTATTTGAATTCTAAGAGTGGACTTATTCACCAAGTTTAAGTGAGTTCCAAGGGTGGTATTTTTCTCCAGAATCATCAGAGCTCAAAGAGTGACGTTTTCTCAAGGAGTATCCGAGCTCAATGATTATATTTTTCCTCCCGGAGTATTCGAGCTCTAGAGTGGATCAAGGAGTACTTTGCGGAATGCCTTTTCTCTAATGTACAGAAGACCCGCAGAAGGTTTTTTCTATTGAAGATCTACAGATGACATTCGGGGAAAGTCCTGCAGAAGACCTTTTGTCCTTATGTGACTTACAAAATGTATTCCGTCTATTAAAGGCTTGCAAATGTCCCTCGGCCTAGAGTTGAATACATGAGGCCCTCGGTGTATAGAAGATCTTCAGAAATTCTTCTGTGTATAGAATATATGCAAGAGGATCTGGAGACTTGCAGAAGGTTGATTGGTTATTTTGACGCCCTACTAATGTTATTTATGATTATAGAAGACCTGATGAAGGCTTGCAAAATTTATTCATCCATGGAAGACCTGAAGGAGATATTCTGTTTGCAGAAAGACTTTTGTCCACAGAAGTCCTATAGAAAAGTAGGACCTAGGAAAGACTTACAGACGTTGCTCTGTTCCTAGAAGACCTGTTGGTGGTATTTTGGCTATAAAAGACCTGCTGTAAGTTTTCTGTCCAAAGAGGACCTGCTGTAAGTTTTCTATCTACTGAAGACCTGCATAAATTCATCTGTCAGCAAAGATCAAAAAGGAATTTCAAAAGACTTCTGTAAATAAACACTGTTGTCTATAGAAGACCTCCAAAACTTATTTTGCAAATCGAGGACTTTGGAATATTTTCCGTCTCTTGGAGGCCTGTAGATTGCATTACCTTTATAGAAGATTTGTAAAAAGTTCGATCTTTCGAAGATCTTCGTAGAGTATAATTTTATATAATCTATGGAAGCTCTATAGACTATCGGATGAATTTGTCCTCGTCTATATGCTTTTCTCCCTCTTCTCCTTTAATTTTAAATATAAATTTGTAGGTGTATTTGTGCTGTTAGTTGTATTAGAATGTTAGCTTACATTTTGTCCACTCACGTTACTGACTAGAACACCGCAATAGTCTGGCGAACCATCTTTGGCCAAAAGGTTAAGGCTGAAGCCCACCGAATCTGAACCATCACCCATTGCCATACAGGCTGGGGTACGATAATCACGGGCATGTACTGCTCCACTATAGGGTCCATCTAATTTCACTTTAATGTTCATGGTGCCCGCCTTGCAGGTGGCCGAAACGCGTGGTGCAAATTCTGTTGTCGTTGAGGCTTCTTGGGCGGAGATCTGTAAGGGAAGAAAAGAAAAATAAGAAAAATAAGAGATTAAAAAATATGGAAAATAAGATTTTGGAATGGAGGTTAAAAAGAATTCAGAGTTTTCATAAATAATCGGAATCCAATACATTTTTGATTTGGTTATTGTTATTATTATTTTTTAATCTTTTAGACCTGGCAAAATGTTTTAGAAAAACGTAAAGCTGGCCAGTTCATCTTCCACGAAATCAGATTAGTCGAATCAAAGCACTGTTTCGAAGCAATAAAAAATTAAGAACACAGCAGCCAAAAGAGAAATAAACGAAATAAATTCAGCGTCAGTAGATCACAAAGTTGCCTGGTCTGACCGAACAGTCATATAAACTTCGAAATAAAAAATTATGCATCCGCCACCACTGAAAAAAATAATTTCCTTCAATTTGAATTCCAGGTAGCTTTCGGAGTAAATGTTTTAATTGCCGCCTGCTGTGTTTTTGAAAATAAAAGTTTTCTCAAGACCAAGGAATGGTGGCGAAGATTCTGACGCTCATGATGATGATTCATAGCAATTACAAGCCACATGACATACATTCTTCAAGATGATCAGCTAACATTTACATATCGACGGGTATTACAAACTACGAGATCATCATCAAGATGAAGATTTAGGCAACGAAACAGTTGGCGATCATTAAAGCCATTAAAAATCATGTTCTACATATTAAGTCTACATGGCTTGCAGTGGATAATTCTTCAACTTCTTTTAATGGACATCATTTTTCTGGATATTTTCGAAAAAAAATATATTTCATGGTGATTTTACAAGTTAGGCCTTTTACTTTTTTTCGTTCGCATTTCCCAAAGCCATTAAAGCCTTACTTTACCTGTCTTCATCTCTAATTAATCGTCCAGCCTGCCACAGGGCCAAATTCAATTAACAATTTTTTAAATTTTCTTCAACACTTAATGGGACCACTAAATTAATGATGATGATGATTTATTTTTACAGAACTTCTTTTTTTTCTAAGAATGGGAATGCCAAGATTACCACAAGTGAAATGAATTTGCTGTAGGTATTTCAGGCGGGGGGGGGGGGGGGGGGGGGAGGGATCTGTTTTCTAAATAAAGGGCGTTGCTAGACATTAATGATGGCATGATTTGTAGATTTAAGATGCCCCACTTATTTAAATGTTCTATTTAGGCAATAAATATTTAAATCCCAGAACATAAGTGACCCAAATACCAAAAGTTTGGTAAACAAATTTGGAACTATGGATTTTTTAAAGAATATGTTTTTAAGCTTCACAATAAGTGTGAATTTTTAAAGAATATTTTTTCAAACATTACTTGAAAAATTAGGCCTTACAATAGGGGTGGATTTTTTGAAAGAATATTTTTTCAAAGCATTACATCACCGGATGAAATAGTGAGCTAATATGTGCCGCGATTTCACCCATAAGAACTATAAAAAAATGGGTTGAGGCGTCGGGTTAGTTGCCCATTCTCGGAAAACACAACCTACTATGAAAAAGCAAAGAAAAATAAAACCAAAACCCCCCTAATGTTGACGACACCCGCAAACGTATAAAGGACCACGATCTACGAATCAGCACTTGGAATGTGCGCATGTACAGAACAGGCGCAGTGTTCGCTTTGGCGGATGTACTCAAGAAGTACAAAGCCAATATTATTGCCTAACAGGAAATGCGATGGAATGGGACTGGCATAAGTAAATCAGATGATTACGCCCTGTATTATAGCTGCCATGAAACGATACATGAATTTGCCTGCGGATTTATGGTTAATAGGAGAATAAAAGACCTCGTCTCCAGATTCACTTCAGTAGATGAGGGAATTGCTATAATCCGTATAAAAGCGAAGTTCTTCTACATCAGTCGCATTTGCGCCCATGCTCCGACCGAAGATAAAGATGAACAGACCAAAGACATATTTTACGAGCGCCTTGAAACAGCATATGTCCGTTGCCCTGGCCATGACATTAAAATTCTGCTAGAAGTTTTAATGCAAAAATCGGAAGGGAAAATATCTTTGGCCCCACCGTCGGAAAATTCAGCCTTCATGAAGAAACATCCGACAACGGCATGAGGTTGATTGACTTCGCAACACCAGATTCAAGCATCTCGATATACACAAGGCCACCTGGATCTCTCCTGACCAAGCAACGAGAAATCAAATTTATCATGACGGAAGGCACTCATCCAGTGTTTTAGATGTCCGATCGACCGGAGGAGCGAATATCGATTCGGACCATTACCTTGTGGCAGCCAAGGTAAGCACCCGTCTTAATGTAGCAGCAAAGGTGCGATCTAACACAACACGGAAACTCGACGTCGAAAAGCTGCAAACACAACAGGAAGCCGGGGCCTACTCCACTCAACTTACCCACCAGCTTGAAGAAAGCACTTCATGTCCCGATAATAGTATAGAAGCACAATGGCAAAGAATGGCCCACTCCCTACAAACTGTAGCAAAGGCAAGACTTGGGTACCAAAAACCACCACCAAGAAACCCATGGTACGATCAGGAGTGTCGTAATGCTACTGATGTGAAAAACGCATCGTATAGGACAACCCTGCAGACAGTAGCAACACTTAACGTGATGGAAAATTAACTGGAGAAAAAAAAATAGAGAGGAGAAACGTGTTTTCAGAAAAAGAAGAAGAAAGAACAAGAAAAACGTGATCGTGAGCAAATCGAGATGTACAGGAGTCAGAATGAAGTCCGGATATTTTACCAACGAATAAAACACCAAACAGAAGGCTTTGGTGCAGACACATCCTCCTGTAGAGATGAAGAAGGAAACCTGGTGACAGATACAGACAACGTGTTGAGGATCTGGAAGGAGCATTTTGAAAAGCTTCTGTATCAAAAAGTGCTGTTGAAGAAGATACCCCGGAACTAATAAGAGATGATGGTATAGAGTGTATACCACCTAGCCACGATGAGGTCATAAAAGCAATTAATCGGCTCAAGAACAATAAAGCAGCAGGATCTGATGGGTTACCAGCCGAACTATTCAAGACTGGTGGCCAGATGCTGGTCAGGAGCATGCGCCAGCTGATTAGTACAATTTGGCTAGAGGAATGCATGCGCAATGATTGGAACCACAGCATCCTGTGTCCCGTGCACAAAAAAGGATACAAGACGATATGTGCCAACTATAGAGGAATAAGTTTCCTTCCCATCGCATATAAAGTGCTATCCAGTGTGATATGTGAACGACTGAAGCCAATGGTCAATGACATCATTGGACCATACCAATGCGGCTTCAGACCTGGCAAATCCACCAATGACCAGATTTTTACTCTGCGCCAAATCCTGGAAAAAAACCCACGAAAAACACATCGACACATATCACCTATTTCTCGACTATAAAGCCGCATTCGATAGCCCTATCCGTTCAGAGGTGTCCATGTCTACGTTCGGCATTCCTGCGAAATTAATATGGCTATGCAGGATAACTTTAAGTGACACAAGGTCAGCAGTTAAAGTAGGAAAGGACCAATCGGAGCCCTTCAATGCCGAACGAGGATTCAGACAAGGTGACAGTTTGTCGTGTGATCTTTTTAACATCCTGCTGGAAAAGGTCATACGAGACGCAAAGGTGATCAGAAATGGCACTCTGTACACCAAACAACACATGTTACTCGCCTACGCTGATGACATCGACATAATGGTTCGAACACTGAGAGCGGTAACAGCCACCTTTGAACAAATCGAGGAGTCTGCCAAAGTGGGTCTGGCAGTAAACGGCGAGAAGATCAAGCTGATGTTATCAGCGCGCAAGAAGTCCAGTAGACTCGTATCAACTGTGGAAATTGCAAACTACAGCTTCGAGGTAGTCAAAGACTTTATATACCTTGGTACCACCATAAGTAAAACGAATGGCATCAGTTTTGAAATTCGGAGAAGGGTAGTGATGGCCAACAGATGCTACTATGATCTAAGTAAGCCATTTAAAAACAAGGTTATCTCTCGCCAGGCCAAACTCACACTTTACAAGACGCTGATACTACCCGTGCTATTATATAAATCTGAAGCATGGGTACTTGTGCAAGCAGATGAGGCAGCTCTTGGTGTGTTTGAAAGAAAAATTCTCCGAAAGATCTATGGGCCGATCTGCGTCGACGATGAATATCGGCGTCGAATGAACCATGAGCTTTACAATTTATACGCGGACATAGTCAGTCGTATTGAGCTGCAGCGACTACGGTGGCTAGACCATGTTGTGCGAATGATTGAGAATGCCCCAGCTCAAAAGGCATATAAAAGCGAGCCTACTGATGGTTTCCGTAGATGGGGAAGGCCACGAATTAATTGGAAAGACCAAGTAGAAAACAACATCTTGGAACGTGGTCTTCCAAATTGGTGGATTTGCGCACAAGACCGACGCGCTTATAAATATTTTAAGCTCGGCTTATGGAACAAGCGTTCTGTAACAAGCCAGCTACGTAAGTAAGTAAAGAATATTTTTTCAAGCTTCACAATAGGCGTGAATTTTTTAAAGAATATTTTTTCAAGCTTCACAATAGGGGAGGATTTTGTAGCATGCTCAGATTTTGTAGGCTGCGTTTCGCTGCCTTCAAATTCAAGTTCGTGACTTAAGTCTTTTGTTTGTTTGCTCACAAGAAATGCTGCCTATTAGGGTTTGGTCAGATTTAGATGAACAGATTTCGTTTATTCATATAGAGAATATCAAGTTGTCCAATTCAGTTCAAATATCACATACTTCCTCCGACTAGACTTCTTATCAAAACTGTCATGACGTCATTTTGTCACTTTGTCAATGTCCGCTTATCACCGGTATTTTTTTTACATTTTTTAAGAAACATTTAAAATTGTTCATAATTCACTGAGATCATTAAAAAATTCTGTGAATTTTTCTGTTTTTTAATTTTATTTTAACAATGAATAGACATTTTCAAAACTGTACAGCTGGCTGCTGGGCTAGAGTCTAGAATTTGAAATCTAAAAATAAAAACGAAAAAAAAATAATTGATAATTATCGTC